CTATCTGCATCAAGAGACACAGGACAAAATCACTTCTACACAAGACTGAATATATTTGGACTAGCACTTGACAGGTGGTGAGAAAGAAGACTCCAATTTCCCCAAAAGGAGAAAGTTTCCCTCTCTTATGCATTATGACTTGCAAAATTGGCAGCGGTTTCATTCCAGGGTGAGAGTTTCTTGAATTCATAGATACACATCGGTAAGGAGGCAATTTGCTCATTATTTCTATGGAGGGATAGAAACCATCCTGTGGTTCACTGCAAGCTGAAAGGATAACACATTATCACACAGACAAACACATTAAACCAAGAAGGACAAAGCTATCAAGCAGAAGACGAGCGTCCACACCAGCAGACCACAGTATTTGCTGAGTTTTTCGATGAAAAAAAGCATTCGGAATCAATTTTCAAGCCATGATTGCAAAAATGTCAGTATCTCAAACCTATCGTGTGAAAAAATAAAAAACGTGGAAATGGAGGCTAATATACATTAGAAAGGATATGAAGATGCTTCGAAAGCCAACTTTAGAGAACGTGTACAATGCAAAAACATTTCTAAATGATTTTAGATGATATATATGCCAAAAAAGAATAACACTAGACATATCTTGAAATTGAAAGCACTCAGATATTAATATAACTTTGCTTTCACACTGTGATGACGACAACACACCATGAACATGAGTGGAAAAATGCTGAAAGCTGAATATGATTACTTTCCATTCATATCCATGTTTTATCTCCTTTTTAAAATCTTTATCTCTGAGTTAATGGTTATAGTTGATTGCATCCAAGATAAAAATTAAAAAAAGATAGCAAGAGGAACTCTTCACATTTTCACACATTTAAATCCCCCTTATCTATCATATCGTATCTGTCAAAACCAAACTCGAGTTTTCTTTCAACAAAGTATGGGGGGGGGGAGTCTTGCACATTCAGCTGCACTGTCTTTGTGCAGTGATAATCAGAAATTAGATAATGAGAAATTAGCCCATATCTCATTAAGATGAAGGGAGAATAATGTCTCTTGGGGTCAGAGGGTAATCCCTGCCTATTGCGTCCTGGCCACATTGCCTGGCAATTAAGCACAAGAAAATGAGAACCCAAGGAGCACTATGCACTTATTAAAATCCTAGTAACAGGGGGCAATGTGGGAAGTATGGAAAGAGCATAGCAAAAAGATTTTTTTAAAAGATTTTAAAGCTTTTTATTTAGCTTCAAAAAAAATAAAAAAAACTTGTGTGATATTTTACGTATTTTTATCAAGGTTTTTCCCTCTGGTGGAATATTTGTAAGATTCTCATCTAAGCAAATCTTTAAGTGAAAAACCACATGACGAATCGTGATGCAGCATTTAAGAAATAATCAAACTGTATGATTCAGTCTTCAGTCTCCTTTGCATCAAGGAAGAGAAAAACAAACTGACACCTACTACTTCCTTGCACAGACATAAAAGAAACAAGAGACGCCAGAGACGAAAAACCAACCTGATGCTTGCCAGCACCATTCTGCATCCAATTATGATGTATTAGGAGAGGTACTAAGCTATCAGAGAAGCCAGCAAATCTGCCCTGTCTCAATGAGTTGCAACATTTCCAGGCATACATTTTCCATTGATTAGAGAAGCTCAATTCACAGTCTGCAGTTTATCACTGCTTTGGGACCGGTAATCAATTCTCTAATGCCGTTTGAGCCTATTCACTGGAGCTATGATCCAGTCGTCACCAAGCAGATACACACATACACACAGCCATGCCCACTGATATTGTGGATGCAGCCCTGTCTACATCCAGGCCCACACCACATATAACCCAGATGGCCATCATAAAAGCAGAGGACAGCTCTAAAATATTAACTTACCAAGTGTAGCAGTGATGGGGCACTGTCATCTAATGGTATTATCAAAATGAGTGCAGCTCTCCTGAGGCAGACTCTGGTTCCTGATTACCAAGCAGTGGTGGACCCTGTTTGTGACCAAATCTGATCAGCATAGCACCAGACATAGGGAAGGCCAGTCAGGAACTCAGCCCGAAGGCCCCTTATCTCTACCGACAGGCCGTTGGTCCTTTATAGGCAATGATGTCCTCCCAGGAATTAATCTGATTGGGGTCTGGTGGAAGATTAAGTTCCAGTAAAACTGCTAAAGGAAAGGTATGGTCCTAACCTCCCTTCTAAGCCATTCCTTTCTTGGATCAGATGGAATTACATTTTGAGACTTTGTACAGAGCAGAGGGAGGACAGGACTGCATCTCTGAATGTTTGCTTCAGGCAGGGCTTCAACTGAAATTAACTGACCACCGCTACCTTAGACTATTATCACTGAGATTATTTTTACACTGAAACAATTTGGTGAAATAGGAGCCATGAAGCTTCAAACCTAAATTAAAACAAAGCCTTACCTAATTCTGCATTTGATCCATCATCATCTGCATTGCAAACAAAATATAATATTAACTGGTACTGATTAAATCCCTAAAACCCTATCACAGGTTTTCACATTTGTGAAAATAAATACTTTTAAATGGCTTAGATGTAACACTGCCCCTCTGCCTTTATCAGTTTAAGTAGATGTGTGAATATGCAACATTATCAATTCTTTTATCTCCTATGGTATCATACAGCTTCAAATTTTGACTGTCTATAAAACAGCATAATATAGTTTTGAAACCCATATCATTTGTATCTGTGAATTCTATCTGACAATCAAGAAATCACTGAAATAGGACCAAGTGAAGTAGACTAAAAGATACTCAAAAGCCAGACATTATGGCGGGGTCAAAGGAAATTCAGGAAGAAATGAGAGATACAATAATTTACAGCAATTCTGCAAAGATGAGTGGGCCAAAATTCCTCCACAGCGCTGTAAAAGACTCATTGTCAGTTCTTGCAAACAAAGGGCCATGTAGGTTTGGATTTATTTCCCCCCTTACTAAATAAATGTCTTCATTTGGAAACTGCATTTTGTGTTTACTCGTGTTATCTTTGTATAATATTTACATTTGTTTGATTATCTGAAACATTTAAGTCTGACAAACATACAAAAAAAATACTGAAAACACTTCAGGTGCCATATAATGACACATGTAGGATCTTGGTCAGACTTTCAAGATAGACAGCTGCAATCCATATGTTTTTGACTAGTAAGCTTAGTATATAGGTTTGGATGCGCCAACTGTGACTTCACCACAGCCTCATAAGCATTTAAACTGGCGCACAGGGCACACTGGACTCTTCCCCTGAATGATAGGTGTTGCTACTCGGAAACAAAAAATAGCAGCAGAAGAAGTCAACACAAAGCAAAGCAAGTCATAGACTCATATTGCTTCATGAAGGTAACAAAAATCAAGAAGTGCATGACAAACCAAAACAACACCAAAATGCATTGTTCACCAGCTGCAAGTGTATACTAGGTGTAAAGTCCCTTCTTTTCATGCTGTGCTGAAAACTGTTGTGTAAAAGTTTCAATTACCGTATTTTCCGCACTATAAGGCGCACTTAAAATCCTTTAATTTTCTCAACAACAAAAGATCGACAGTGCACCTTATAATCCGGTGAGCGTTATGTATTAATTCTGTGCTTACAGACTTCGAACCGATTTTATGTGGTACACGGCGCTTAAAATTCTGTCAAAAAATGTTTTAGTATGACTTTGGGAAGCTACGAAGCTGCACCGCTTGATGGATTGTCGGAGCATTACGGCTCCATAGTCAAGAGCCTCGCAGAGTAATCTGGGTCCAAAACTCAGTCTGCTTCAGGTCCCAAAGTTAAACGAGCAGTGCGGCATCACTGAGAGTTAAATACTGTCTAAATTATTTCATCTTTAATAAAATGATCAGTGTTGCTGCTTTACCAGGTGTAACAATGAAGTTTAACATCCAGGCATCCATGAAAACAGAATTTATTAAATTTAACGGAGTTAGAAGTTAGCAGAAAGTTAGCTCGCTAGTTTCCACCTAAACATGATTTGACTGAGAGATTTCTGAAAAAATTCAAACGTACAGCTCTGCTATCACTTCCAACATAAATGAAGACAGAAAACTAAACAGCAGTGACGTTTGTAGGGTTACTGAAGTTGGACTAGCTGGTATATAATGATGTGCTACATGATCGCTCGCACACAGCTATGTTAGCATAACATAAACAGTGAAGCTGGAGGAATAATGGTAACTTTTTTCCACTCAATAAAAGTTAACGTGAGGGTTCCCGATGGTCAGGAACAAATGCAATCGCATGGCAGGATGCTGTAAACGGACCAAACTTCAGTCAAGAGAACAAGTGAGATAATCTATCCACAATACAAGGTTAGTCATAATGTACTGCAACAACATGGGAATAGAGCAGCTGCGAGAGAATTCAACATTAATGAATCAATGGTACGGAAGTGGAGGGAGCAAGAAGAATGAGTTGAGTAACATTTGACTTATCTGACTGTTTTGTTTCGCTTAATGTGCTTTATAATGCGGTGCGCCTTATGGTCCGAAAAATACAGTGATTCATTCCATAAATGTGGTAATAATAGCTCATAAAGGAATTGCCTATTTGTGTTTTAATCACAGATGGTTACATTTTGTTATTGTCTTTATGTTGTTTCTGCTACTTTCTTATTTTTATTAGGGTAAACTATAGTGTCTAAAGTAAAGTCACAGGCAAAAATTATATATTTAATAATACTTTCATTCAGTGGATTAACTTGACATAAATCAGCCCTTAATTGTTTATTGTTTAGTCACAGAATTCTTTAAATGATATTTAATCCTTGGTTCTAATGCCCAAAACTTCCATATAGAGGCTCATTTGCAAACATTCCAAAAAAACACTTTGGAATACATTAATAACATTTAATTTGTTTTCTCCCATGGTTTGGGAATGATAAACGTAAATACCAACTTCTGAAGCCTAGAAGTAAAATAACCTCTGTATTCACTCAAAAACACACACAGTGCTCCAAAATGGCTGCCACTATTTGCCATTAAAAATCCAGAGAAGCACAAAACTTACTTTGGTGTCTGTGTGTCATCCAAGCGGTTCCCCAGCTGGAACTCATGGGATTTGCTGCGGTGCAGAGCGGTGAAGCCTGGCAAAAGATGGATAAGTTTGCGGCTTGGCGGAGGTGGTGTTCCTGGGGCCTTCACCTTATTCCTTCGCCGCATGGGAGGAGTGCCAGGTGGGGTCATGGTGTTGACCACCAAATGAGTCCGAGGAGGGGTGTGACCAAAATGCCTCTGGCGAGGTGATGGGGGCAGGGAGCGATGACCAGAGTCCAAGGGAGGGAAGAGCCCTGAAGAGGGGCTGTCGACAGTGAGTCGATCGGCATACAAAGGGGGGGCCAGGGCCTGTGGGCTGTGGCACATGTGCTGGTTGTACTTGGACTGGACTTTGGGGCTTTGAGAGAGCTGGAACCGAATCCACTGACTGGCCTCTGGCTGGCACACCGGAGTGTTTTCTTTGCCAGATTCTGATGTTGGCCACTGAATGGACCAGTCCTGTTTGGTCTGGCTCCCTGTTGAAAGTCCACAAAGACAGAGACAAACATCTGGTTGTAACATGTTGCTAAAATACATTTTTCACAATTTTACAAAAATAACAAAATAACATATTTTAGCTGCACGTAGTGGTTTCAACTCGTGCAAATAGTTTTGGTTTAGTTTGTCCAAGTGTGGAGATATCCGTCTACAATTCAATATCCACCTACAGTACTGTACGAAAGTCTTGAGCCGTCCCTCAATACTTTATTTTTTGCTGGGGAAAAGTGGAATAGGTGCAGTGATTCATTGACTCATCCAACAACGAACATCAAAAGATATAAGGCAAAAACAGAGTTTGTACAAATAAAACAAGCTTCATGTTCATTCTTCAACCCAGCCTGAACTCTCTTAAGCAGTTAGTCTTCAGGAATAGTTCTCCAGGCTTCTTGAAGGACATTCAAAGCTCTTCTGTGGATGGTGACTGCTTTTTGCTCCACTCTCACACTTCTTCAGTAATGTTGAGCTCTGGGCTCTGGAGAGGCCAATCCATGTCTGATAATGTTCCATTGTGTATTTCTATCCAGGTATGCTTTTACTGCTTCGGCAGTATGTTTGGGATCACTGTTATGATGAAAAATAAAGCTGATATATAACAGCTCTAAGGCCATGTTCAGAAGGTATTTTGTTGGCTCAAAATCTGAATGTACTTTCCGCATTCATAATTCCAAAAAACATTACATACACCACTGGCTGAAACGCAGCCCCAAACCATGACAGAGTCTCCAACATGTTTATAGACGGCTGTAGACACTCACTCTTGTACCTCTTTCTCGACTCGCTCTGTACCTCTAACAATTTGAGTTAACGTGTTCAAATTCTGACTCATGACTGTATATGACCTGTTGCCACTGAACTGATGACTCTGTCAGGTCTTGTGCCTTGCTGGATTTTTTTCCTATTTCCTTACATGACTGTATGTACTTTTGTGTACTTAAGTACAAGAACTTCACTGAAAATGAGTGAAAAAAAACAGCCAATTTAAAGATCTTCAAAAAAAAAACCCTGAATAACTATAGCTTAAGACCATTCTTAAAAATCACTAAAAACTCCTTGGAAAAAACAAAGGTTTGAGGGGTGACTCATGACTTTTGCATAGTACTGTGTGCAATATATTTTACATGGAATAATAAATGGAATTCTGTTCATGTTTCTCACAGCTTTGTAAAAGACTACCCATGAAAAACTAAAATGCAACATTGCTCTGCAAAACAAAAAATACTTACATTTTTTTAAATGAACCCAAAACTAAAACTGTCTGTATATCAAGACACAACTTAGATTTTTTGTAATTTGAGCATTTTGCAATAAAATGGTGCAGTTAAACTAAGCATGTTCTTCGTGTGTGTGTAATACTAAAATATCCATAAGCATTTTTTGTCTTAATTGAAGCATTTGATGAAGTCCTAGGGCAAAGAATATATTTACAACAAGTTAACTGCATTAATCTGAGCAATGAAAAATACATTTTTTCCATTATCTGATGTGAGCACACGAGCAGCAGTGGTGTTCAAATATGCTGGCGTGGAGCAGATTAAGCATCGCTTGATGGAGGAAGAGAATGAGAAATGGAAAAGTGCTCAAAAACAGAACAGGGCAAAGCTGCATGAGTTAAAACACAAGCTGACTTTTACTAAAACTAAACTTTCAGCTGAATGACAGAGAAAGATCAACAGAGAAAAAAATACTTGAAAGTGAGCAGCCAAAATGAGTGTTTTTGAGTTCAGATGACAATACTTTACCTCCATTATTGTGCAATTTATCCTCCTCAAGTTGTTCTTCAGAAAGAAACAAAAAAGGAATGTGTTTATTGATCTGGAAGAGAAACGACTGAAATAGTGTGCAGTATTCTATCCGTCTATCTACACAACCAAATGCACAACCAAAAGGCTATTTAGAAAAATAAAACATAAAGTACAATTGATCCTGGGTACATCGAAGCAGATGCAGCATCTCATGCATGACTGAGTGTTCACAAACTTGACCTCACAGTTTAAAAAAAATGTTTTTGACCGTCAAGCCACCATTAATGCAAATTTTCTGTCAACAACCCCATACTCTCTTCTTTTTGTGTGCCATTATTTTTTTTCTTCCATCTGACATTGTCTCTAAGGAACTATAAGCAATGCAAATGCACACACTTTCACAATGGCAACATCAAATGAACCACGAAAATATCAGCAATAAAAAGTCCCAGAAGAATTGCAAAAGTTAGAGGAGGGTGGGGGCGATGTTTCTATAATGTTATGAAGAAGATGCTGGAAGAAATGATGAGTTATGGGAAGAGACAACTGAAGACACAAGAGTCCTGATATATGGCAAGTTTCAAGGGTGTCATTTTTTTTCTTTAAATATTTTCATTTGTTCTGCATCTGAGAATTTTTAATAGTTGCTAACACATCACCACCCTACAGAGAGCTGGTTCCACAGGAGAGGGATCTGGAAGATAAAGGCTCTTCCTCCTATTCAACTCTTAAATACCAGTACCCAAGAAACGGCAAGTAAACCAGCAGCGATCCAGAGTAAAAATCTGGTTAGATAAGATTTTTAGGGGTGAGTACAATAACCTCAGTTTTATCTAAATTTAGAAGCAGAAAAATTAGAGGTCATCCAGGTCTTCATGTCTTTAAGACATCCTTGCAGTTTAATAAATTGAGGTGTGTTATCTGGCTTCATAGATAGATAAAGTTAGGTGTCATCTGCATAGCAGTGAAAATGTATGCTATGGCTTTTAATGACGGTATCAAAGGAAAGCATGTATGATGTAAAAAGAATAGGTCCCAGTACAGAACCCTATGGAGCTCTATAGTTAACCTTTGTGTGTGAAGAGTGTGTTAGATAGATATGATTCAAACCACAGCATCACTGTGCCTATAATCCCCATGCCGTTAATGCTGTTTCCCTATTGTAATGAGCTGTGAACCCTGATTGAAACTCCCCCCCCCAAAAAAACTCCCCTGCTAATGATTTGTTCGATGCTTTAATGATTACTTAGATGCTTTAATGATTACCAGTTGTTGTTTTTTTATGGTTAAAACCTTATTTGTGAAAAAATTCATGAGGTCATTACTAGTTAACGTTAAAGGAATGGTTGGCTCAATTGTGCTCTGACCTTTTGTCAGCCTGGCTAAAGAGAAACCTGGAGTTGTTCTTTTTTCTTCAATCAATGATGAATAGTGAGATGTTCTGGCTTTACACATGGCTTTTTTATAGAGGAACAAACTATTTTACCAGGCTTAATGGAGATCTTCTAAAATAGTGAGACACCATTTCCTCTCCAGATTATGAGTTATCTGCTTTAAGGTGTGTGTTTGAGAATTATATGTTTGAAAGAAATTATATCTATAAACTTAGTTACACACTTTAAGAAACATCTGCTGTGGCGAAATTTATATCCCATTGCTGAGTAATCCATTATTGTAAATGTACATGTTATTAGGAAATGATCAGACAAAAGCAGATTTTCTGGGAATACTGTTAACTTTTCAGTTTCTATGCCATATCTCAGAACAAGTTCTAGAGCGGGATTAAAGTTATGGGTGGCTTCTTTTAAATTTTGAAAGATGACTATCTAGATGGATGTTAAAATCACAGACAATAATGTGTTTATCTGAGCTGACCCCTAAATCAGATAAAAACTCTGAGAAATCAGATAGAAACTCTGAGTAAGCACCAGGTCAACAATACATAACAACAAATAAAACTGTTTTTTAAGTTTTCCAGTTACAGTGGACAAGGCTCAAAGTCAGGCTTTCAAATGAATTAAAACTCTGTCTGGGTCTTTGGTTGATTAATAAGTTAGAGTGAATGATTGCTGCCATGCCTCTGGTATGAAAACCTTTGGACCAAAAGTCCAGTTAATTACATTTTGAGCATGATTATCTTCTAGATTAGTGATCAACAGGTATTAAATCGCTGACCAATCAAATCGCTGTAAAATAGCTTCACCATTCGAGGAAAATCCCTTGGACTTCTGTGTATGGACAGCCGGAAAGTTTTTTAATAGCACCCAAAGTCTTTATGTTTCCCTAATGAACTTTGGTGATAAATATAGCTGAAACTGTTTTTTACTGTTAACTGTAAACAACTTTATAAAAATTGTATTGTTCTATAAAGATTCATCTTTGGTCCTAAAACAGGACACCTATATGTACTTGCTGATCTTACATCAAATTTACATTGAGACTAAGGAAACATTTGAATTCTGTTTTTTAGATTTATTGTTTTACTTTCTCTCGAACTGTTAAACACCACCAAAGCTGCAGGTGAAAAAAAACAAAACAATTCTCTCCTGTGTTTGAATGATAATACTGTGATATTGATACAGTAAGTCTGTTAAATAACCAGCCAGCCTTTTTCTTGGCTTTGAATGGGCTAGACTTTACTATAGTAGATCTTTAGCGGTCGTACTGAAGAAAACACATTCTTGCAGCACTTTTAACAGTAAACTGCTGCACACATTCATGCCACTGCTTTGTCTGCAGGAGCTGTGTTGCTTTTCATTTATATTATTTGTGTTATCTTTTCATATTTTTCATACAATATAGTTTTATCTTCTTCTGCAAAATCAGCTGATTTGATAAAAATATAGATCTACATTTGTATGGATTGGTCAGATGCCACCAGTGCCACTTCTTTCATGTTACCACACACTGAGGTCCCTTTTTAGAAATATAACTACATGTCATGGAGAGGCGGATGGAAATAACAGTTATTGGTTGTATCTTGCTTGTTCACAATACAAAGTTCAAGGTTCTTTATTTGCCATTTGTGCATAAAACCCTCAGTCAAGGCAAATGGAATTCTAGTGTAGATCGCTCTCAGTCTGTATACTATAAACACAATAGCCATGTTACACATATACTGTATAGTTTTCTTTTTCACAGTTTCAGAGTTCTAACAATCCTTCCATAGACTGAATCAGTTCTAAAGATCTCTCTTTTACTTTTTATTGGTCAATATTTTTTTAGCCGTTGCGTGCTTTACTACTACTGCTATTTAGACTCTCAGCATAGTGCTTTAAATCAAAAGAACTAAAATTCTGCACAGAAAAAATAACCTGGATT